CCATGCCTATGAATAGAAAACATCAGTATCATTAAAAAGGCCATACTGTCCAAGGCAATGTAAAGATTCAATGCTTTTCCCATCACACTACCAATGACATTGTTCACAGAGCAAGAAAGAACTATTTTAAAATTAATACAGAACTAAGAAGAGCCAAGATAGCCAAGGCAATCCTAAGCAAAAGAAAATAAAGCTGGAGGCATCATACTACCTGACTTCAAAATATACTATAAGGCTGCAGTATACTATAAGGCTGTTACTACAAAAACAGAATGGCACTGGCACAAAAACAGACACATGGAGCAATGGAACAGAATAGAAAGCCCAGAAATAAGGCTGTACACCTACAACCACCTAGTTTTCCACAAAGCTGACAAAATCAAGCAATGGGGAAAAGACTCCCTATTCAATAAATTGTGCTGGGATCACTGGCTAACCATATGCAGAAGAATGATGCTGGACCTCTTCTTTTCACCATACACAAAAATCAACTCAAGATAGATTAAAGACTAAAGTGTAAAACCCTAAAATATAAAAATCTGGAAACAAAACCTAGGCAATACCATCCGGACACAGAAAAGACCAAATTTTTCATGACAAAGACAGCAACAGCAATCACAACAAAAACAAAAATTGACACATGGAATCTAATTAAATGTAAGAGCTTCTCTAAAGCAAAGGAAACTATCAACAGAATAAACAGACAATCTATGGAATTTTTGAAGAAGATTTTTGGAGAAGATTTTTGAAGACTATGTATCCGATAAAGCTCTAATTTCCAGCATCTATTAGGAACTTAAACAAATTTATAAGAAAAAGCAAACAACCCTTTAAAAAAGTGGGTGAAGGACATGAACAGACACTTTTCTTTCTTTCTTACTTTTATTTAGATGGAGTTTCACTCTTGTTACCCAGGCTGGAATGCAATGGCATGATCTCGGCTCACTGCAAACTCTGCCTCCTGCGTTCAAACGATTTTCCTGTCTCAGCCTCTGGAATAGCTGGGATTACAGGCATGCACCACCAAGGCTGGCTCATTTTGTATTTTTAATATAAACAGGGTTTCTCCATGTTTGTCAGACTGGTCTCAAATTCCCAACCTCAAATGATCTGCCCTCCTTGGCCTTCCAAAGTTCTGGGATTACAGATGTGAGCCACTGTGCCCGGCCGAACAGACACTTTCTAAACAAGTCAGTCAAGTGGCCAAGAAGCATTTGAGAAAAGGCTCAATATCCCTGATCATTAGAGAAATGGAAATCAAAACCACAGTGAGATAACATCTCACATAACTCCAAATAGTTACTATTGAAAAGTCAAAAAATAACAGATGCTGCTGTGCTTGCGGAGAAAAGGGAACACTTATACACTGTTGGTGGTAGTGTAAATTAGTTCAGCATTGAGAAAAGCAGTATGGAGATTCCTCAAAAAGCTAAAATCACAACTACCATTTGACCCAGTGTTTGTGTTACTGGATATCTACCTAGAGAAATAGAAATCATTCTACCATAAAGACACATGCACGTGAATGCTCATTGCAGCACTATTCTCAATAGCAAAGACATGGAATGGACCTAAATGCCCATCATTGACAGGTTGGATAAAGAAAATGTGGTACATATACACTATGGAATACTATACAGCCATAAAAAAACAAGATAATGTCTTTTGCAGGAATCTGAATGGAGCTGGAGGCTATTGTCCTCAGCAAACTAACATAGAAACAGAAAACCAAATACTATGTGTTCTCACTTCTAAGTGAGAGCTAAATGCTAAGAACTTATGAACACAAAAAAGGAAGACAATATACATTGGCATCTGCTTCAGGATGGAGGATAAGAGGGAGAGGAACAGAAGAGACAACTGTTGGGCTTAATTCCTGGTTGATGAAATAATCTCTACAACAATTCCTTGTGACATGTTTTCACCTATGTAACAAACCTTCACATGTACCGCCGAGCCTAAAACAAAAATGAATTAAAAAAAAAAAAACAATAAAATTAAGAAGTTTTACTAAAGAGAAGAACCAAAACCATTGGCTTTTTTTCTGATATAGTTTCTTTCTCAGTGAAATATGGAAGTTGGTAAGGTTATTTTTACTATTTAAGCATTGGAAGATTTTATTCTTTGGTGAGACTTTATCTCCACACCCTCTTCATGTACACTTAGAGAACTCATGATACATTCTTGCACCAATTAAAAACTGATCCTAGGAATAAATATTATAGGTTTATGATACATAACTGGGAAAATTTAATATATTCCATTTGCTGGTTATATTTGCATTTCCTTGAAAGACAAAATTTAAAACCAAAGGAATACATTTTGAATTCAGAATGAGAAGCTTGTCCACGATAAGCTGAATGGAAGGTATTTTGGGGGGCCTCTATATAGAGCCAGTCACTTTTAGTTTGGAAACATGAAAGACTGAATATGCCAAAGAACAATGACCATACAATATATGAAAATAGAACTCTGATCTACAACCTCCGCAGCAACCTGTCCAGGAAGCCAAATCACAACCTCTGCAGCAATCGGTCCAGAAGAATCAGGACTGATTCAAAATCTAATTTTTGTCCCCATTTCCAACTCAGAACTAACCTTAGAAAGCCAAATATGTTTCCCAAACTAATCCATAAATTGTCCTGTTTCTAGCTAGCCTGCCTCTAGCTTCCCCATGCCTTCTACCTACAATCATAGCATACTTTGTCACTCTAGTTTTTCACTATAAAGCTTTTCTGCTCTCCTGCCTATCTTTTATTCTTTCACAATGTAAGTGACAGTGGCTGACTCCCTTGCTATATAGCAAGCTCTGAATAAAAATAGCCTTTGCTTGTCATTTGGGTGGTCTTCAATTCTTTCTACAATCCAGTTATATAGATACTTTAGAGCCAAGATTTTTAACTGGTTATGTAAATGATAATGGACTAAGAGGCTTAAAAAGTACAAATGACTGACTGAGCATGGTGGCTCATGCCTGTAATCCCAGCACTTTGGGATGCTGAGGCGGGGGGATCACCTGAAGTCAGGAGTTTGAGAACAGCCTGGCCAATATGGCAAAACCCCTTCTCTACTAAAAATGCAAAAATTAGCCCGGCATGGTGGCTTGCGCCTGTAATCCCAGCTACTTGGGTGGCTGAGACAAGAGAATTACTTGAACCCTGGAGGCAAAGCTTGCAGTGAGCCAATATCTCACCATTGCACTCCACCCTGTGTGACAGAGTGAGACTCCATCCCCATCCCTCCCCCGCCAAAAAAGTACAGATGATGAAGCATCACTCGAATTCCACTGCATTCACATTTCTGTGGGAGGACCTGGCAATGGGTATTTTAAGGAAGCATCCCAGGTGATTCTTATGTACATTGCCATTTGAAAACAACTGTTCCGTGGAAATCTTGTTTAACTTTTTTGAATATTTATGAATACCCATTCCAAGCTAGATGATAGCAAAAAACAAACAAATGCCTATATTAGTTTTCAAATCTCCCAACTCCAATCTCTTGCCTAGAAAACATTAGGACTAGTTTGAAACTTGTTCTAACAGAAAAAGTTAAATGCTCCTCCACCAAAGATCATTTAAAAAAAATATTTTCAATATTCTTTGAAATGGATCCCTTTAGCATTTTTCATAAACTGTTAACTGAAATCTGTAGATGCTGAAGAAGCAATGTCATATATTGTCAATAATTGTCAAACATTTGTTATTTATCTCTCCTTGTTTTACTTCCAAGAAAACCAAAAATCACGGCATTCTGAAGACAGAGATATGAATCCCCTTCATTTGGTATCCCACTGGGCTCAAATCTGTTTCACTGAGAAAGCTCTGCTTCTAAAACTATACAAGTATCCTACCTCTAGGCTCAGGGACTGTTGCAGAAAAGAGAGACACTAAGATTGTAAGGCTGTCAGTTTATTTTGTTGATAGTTTCCTTTGCTTTAGAGAAGCTCTTATATTTAATTAGATCCCATTTGTCAATTTGTGCTTTTGTTGTGATTGTTTTTGTTGTCTTTGTAATGAAAAATTTGCCCCTTCCTATGTTGTGGATAATATTGCCTAGGCTTTCTTTCAGGGTTTTTGTAGTTTTGGGTTTGTAATCTATTTTGAGTTGAGTATTGTGTATGGTGGAAAGAAGGGGTCCAGCATCATTCTTCTGCATATGGTTAGCCAGTGATCCCAGCAAGATTTATAGAATAGGGAGTCTTTTCCCCATTGCTTGATTTTGTCAGCTTTGTGGAAGACTAGGTGGTTGTAGGTGTACAGCCTTATTTCTGGGCTCTCAACTCTGTTTTGTAAGTCTCATTGTAGAGATCATTCACCTCATTGGTTAGCTGTATTCTTAAGTATTTTATTCTTTTTGTGACAATTGTGAATAGGATTTCCTTTTTAATTTGGCTTTCGACTTGGTTGTTGTTGGTGCATAGACTGCTAGTGATTTTTGTACATTGAGTTTATATTCTAGAAACTTCTCTGGAGTTGTTTATCAGCTGAAGAAGCTTTTGGGCCAAGACTTTGGAGTTTCCTAGATGTAGAATCATGTCATTTACAAACAGAGATATTTTGACTTCTCCCTTTTTTATTTGGATACCAATTATTTCTTTCTTCTTCCTGACTGTTCCGGCTAGGCCTTCCAATACTGTCTTGAACAGGAGTGGAACTAGAAGGCTTCCTTGTCTATTGGTAATTTTTCATTCTAACACTCTTTTACCAGTTTTTCAAATATTATCCAACAGATGGCTTAATTTCTGCTTCTGTTTTAACCTCCTTCAGTTAAAACTTCACACAAATAATCATCTTTAAATTCATTCGATATAAAAGAAAAAATGCTCAACCTAATGAGTTTAATATTAGCAAACGTATTTAGGTAATTCACTTTTTAAACAAACAACAACAAAATACCCACAGAATCAAAATCAATACAGTTGCTTTTAAGTCAGTTGTGTTGGATGTGTTTGGCTGTCCATAAGCTGTTTTCATGTTAACCTACTCACATTTTCTTTTCAGCAGTAAAGAGGCCTACAGTGATAGGCCTAAAAGCCTAAGTAAGAATGGAGTCAATCGATATGTAAAGAAATTTCAAAAGGCAGACATATCCATATAAATATCCACATTAACATTTGGATGGAATGCTCTTCTAGACATCTTACCATGCATACACAGAGATAGAAAAACAGATGTTCGAATAGGCAGATAAGAATGCGATCATAGTATATGTCTTATTTTTATTTTTTAAAATAAAGTATGAATTTTACTTTTACAAAGGGCAAAACAAGAGAATTGCTCAACTTCAAATAAAAATTTTTAGTATAAGAGATTTTCATATTCTTCACCCACTTTTGAATGGGCTTGTGAAAATGCAATAAAAAAAGATTAATTTTTAAAAATTCTTCTAGAGTAAATAATGATTGTTACTTAAATTCCTAGAGTTGAAATCATTGCTTTTCTTTTAACTATATCACATGTAATATCTGACAAATTCAAATATATAATTTTTTTTTCAGTTGGAGTCTTGCTCTGTCACCTAGGCTAGAGTGCAGTGGCACGATCTTGGATCACTGCAACCTGCGCCTCCCAGGTTCAAGTGATTCTCCTGCCTCAGCCTCCCAAGTAGCTGGGACTACAGTTGTGCACCACCATGCCTGGCTCATTTTTGTATTTTTAGCAGAGATGTGGGTTCACCATATTGGTCTGGCTGGTCTTGAACTGCTGACCTCATGATCTGCCCACCTCAGCCTCCCAAAGTGCTGGGATAAATGGCGTGAGCCACCGTGCCCGGCCCGTAATGTTTTTCTTAACCTGAGATCCATGATGGACTTTAGGGAATCTATGCACACCCTCCTAGCCAAAACTTTAGGGCCGGGCGCAGTGGCTCAAGCCTGTAATCCCAGCACTTTGGGAGGCCGAGGCAGGTGGATCACGAGGTCGAGGGATCGAGACCATCCTGGTCAACATGGTGAAACCCCGTCTCTACTAAAAATACAAAAAATTAGCTGGGCATGGTGGTGCGTGCCTGTAATCCCAGCTACTCAGGAGGCTGAGGCAGGACAATTGCCTGAACCCAGGAGGCGGAGGTTGCAGTGAGCCGAGATTGCGCCATTGCACTCCAGCCTGGGTAACAAGAGCGAAACTCCATCTCAAAAAAAAAAAAAAAAAAAAAAAAAAAAGTCATGTGTGTACAAGAAAAACCTTCTTATTTGTCATAATCAGGACGAGTTAACAATTTAAAATGTTAAAACAGTGAGTTGTAAAAAAATATAAATATATATATACCCTCGATTTTACTTCAAATTAAAACATAAATGTCCTTCTTTAGTCTGGCCAATATTGTGAAAGCCCATCTTTATTGAAAGTATAAAAATTAGCCAGGCCTGGTGGCAGGTGCCTGTAATTCCAGCTACTCATGGAGGCAGAGGCTGTAGTGAGCTGAGATCTCAGCACTGCACTCCAGCCTGGGTGACAGAGTGAGACTCCATTTCAAAAAAAAAAAAAAAAAAAGAAAGTGTTTCTTTTTTCTCTGTTTTGAAGTAGGGCTTTTCTTTGAGTATTGGTTTCCTGGTTAAAGATCCATAACATCATTCTAACCATAAGCTATATCTGTAATATGTCTTCTACAATTTCCAGATTAGGTTCCTTTAAAATAGAATGTACAGTTAAAAACATTAAAAAAAAAATAATGAGTGCAGAATCCTTTTAGATGGATTTAGTTTATATTTCTCCCATCTGTTATAATTGTCTTACTCATGTTTAATTTTCATAGCAGTTTTTAGCCACTCATATTTCAGTCTTTATGAAGCATTTAACTTAATTTTCCTAGAAACAATAATTCTTTTTACACTCATAGTTTATATTATTTACATTTAGACTGTTTAATTACAAGTAAAACTGATGTAGCAACTTGAGGAAAAAAGCAACTTATTTTGACAAGCACACTAATCAAATTGTGAAAGATAATACCTTGGAATATTGGAGAGTACCTGATAGGAATGAATATTCAGCATTCTACCAACATCATTTATAATAAATTTTAAAAAAGTTTTATTAGTCAAGGCTTTTAAAAGGATGTCAGGTGAGAGGTTTCATACTGTGTCTCTATTTTCCTGAAGGAAAGGGCCTATAGCTTTCAGGAGCTTCTCCAAGGCATCTATGATATTAAAAAGTTTAAGAAATGTTAGTCCAGAAGGTCTTTGAAAAATGCAAGTCTCACTCCAGTTATTCATCATTTTGAAAATATGCTTCAAGATGGAATTACTGTTTGCTTTTAATAATTTTCCTCACAATATTTTTGTTAACTTATGTAAAGAGTAACAAGTAGTCAAAAACAAAAGTAGTCTGTCTTTAAAAACTATAAAATATGTAGGAATAAACTAATCAACTAATGTTTTAAGGCCTATTTAAAAGAAAAAAATCCCATCAAACTTTACGGAAGGGTATTTTATAATTTTCACAATATTTAATTGATGAATCAAGATTGAATATATTCAAGGTGTACAACATGATGACTTGATGTATGTATACATTATATAATGATTATTACAATCAACTTAACACATCCATCACCACCCTTGTAGCACATAATATACCCAGAACTTGTTCATCTTATGACTGAAAGTCTGTACCCTTTGACCAACATCTCCTCATTTACATCGCCCCTATCCCCAGTCAACCTCCATTCTACTTTCTGTTTCTATTCTGGGTATATATCCAAAAAAAAAAAATGCAATCAGTATATTGAAGAGATATATATACTTCCATGTTCATTGCAGCATTATTTGCAATAGTCAAGATTAGAAACAACCTAAGTGTCTCTCAGTGGATAAATGGATAAAGAAAATGTGGTACACATATGTAACAGAGTGCTATTTAGCCATTAGAAAAGGAAATTCTGCCATTTGCAACAGAATGGATGAACCCAGAGGACATTATATTCAGAAAAATAGAATAGACACAGAGAGACAAATACTGTTTGATCTCCCTTATTTGTGAAGGATGTTTAACAAAAAATCTTGAATGTCTTTGGTGATATATCCTGTTTCTAGATGAAAAGACTAAAGGTTCAAATACGGCAAGTGTTTCAAAATCTAGAAATTTCATTCTGTTCTTACAAAAGTCCTGTATTTGAATGGAGTATGACATTCATGCACATCGTATTTATTGTCTGTCTACTGTGTATTGGTTACTATAGCATAGACAGGAAAATAGATCAAGAGGACAAAAAGAATATCCAAAAACTTATATTGAGTATATCTTTGTACACAACTGGGTAGGGGATTGATATGTGGTACAGGTGGCATTTCAGATCAGTGTGTAATGGAAAGGATGGATTTTTTTTCAAGAAATGTGTTGGAATAATTGGCTTTTTGGAAAAATACTCAGGCCTTTACCAACTATCATGGGAAAACTAATTCTAGGTGGAATAAAGATCTAACCATAAACTAGAATACTATAAAAAGTATGAGAAGAAAAAGAGGAATACCTGTTTAATTTTGAGATAAGAAAGGTTTTCTTAAGCAAAATGTAACACACAAGCCATCAAAGAAAAAGTTGACATATTGGACTACATCAAAATTAATATATTTCGGTAGATTACAAAATACCATACACAAAGTTAATGGATACGTGAAAAACTGGGAAAACTATTTGTAACATATATTACAAGATACGAATATCCTTCGTGTATTAAGAACTCCTATAAATCAATGAGCAAAAGATGAATGTGCCTTCTGGGAAAATGAAAAAAATACACAAAGAAGCAATCTATATAATAAGAAACATAAATGGCCTAATATCTATAAGACACTTGATTTTATCAACAATCAAATAAACGCAGATTTGGAAAACCATTTAGATATTGGTTTTTAGCCTTTCAATTTGACAAAAATGTAGAAGACTTGTAATATCCCTGCTGGTAAACAGGGTGGGAAAACAGACTTATATTCTTGGTGGGAATGTAAATTGCCGCAGTATATCGCTGAGTTTCTGGAGAGCAACATGGTAATACTGTCAAAAATTCAAATGTGTATACTCTTCAGTGCAGAAATGTCAACTCTAGGAATGTATCTTGAGGAAATGCCATAAGGGTTATGGTACCAGTTGTATGTGTAAGGATGATAATTTCATGATTGCTTATACTTGCCATCTCCCTACCCCCAAAAAGGAAAACAGCCCACATGCTCACCAACAGGGGATTTGTTAAATCATCGTGCCTCAATAGGGAATTTGTTTAACAAATTGTGGCACATCCATTATAGAATACTAAACCAAGCAGCAATTTTAAAAGTAGATCTATGAGTATATAAAGTAATGTAGAACCATGCCTGTGAAATATTGTCAAGCTTTTAAAAAATGGTATCTCAGAATAATATGTTTACTGTGATCTCATTTGTATTTAAAAAGGAGAACAAACTAAATACCTATGTAATTTATTTTGAAAATTTAATTGAAAACATAATTGAGATTGTATTATATAATCTGTTCTGTAACTTTTTCAAATTAGTGGTTCATCATGAACTTCCATTCATGCCAGTACATATAGATCTACCTCATCTTTTTTGAAAGATCTCTAAATGTTAACATTACATTTGTTTTAAAATTTGTTTGTGTATATTTAATGTATATACAAGTAAAAATTTAGGAAGCATATATATATAACTGTTAACAAAGGTTATATTTGGGGAGGAAGAGGAATTTCTTTATACTCCTGTATTACTTAAGTTTTCAAGTGTAGGTATATACTTAGTAAAAACAATAAAAATATTTCTATTTGAGGATAGAAACCTAATTTTTAAAACAAATGTGTCTGTAGAACTTGTAATCCTGGAAAGCCCCTCAAAACATCTTTAAAACTTGAAAAATCAATGGCCGTTGAAATTACTTTAACCATAATGAACAAAAGGATTGGAGAAGAATAGGAAAAAAGAAGAAATCAGAAGTAGATTTTCAAAGAGAAAGAGAGATGAATGAAAATGACAGTAACTTTAGGAATTCAGTGAGCATCCCAGCCTCTGCTTGAGTATGTTTATCGATCATTGTTTATTCTACCTTTCTATCAAAAAGAAGAATGTTCTTTGGAAAAATTAGCTGATGCTTTTTATTTCTTTATGAATGGAGAAAGCACCATAAAATTTTAAGCAAAAGCATTAACTTTGTAGCATGTTAAAAATCTATTTTTCTCAGTCAGCTGTTTATTCCCAAAACTCCTGTTAATAGACAAAGTTTTCACTTATATGACCATGTTATATACCTTAAATTGATACAATTTTTATATGTCAACCTAATCTCAATAAAGCGGAAAAAAATTTTAAAAATAATGTAGACATAGTTTTAGATTTATATGTTACATTGTGAATGCAGATTATACATTTCTTATAGCCCTTTGCATGACACAACAGTTATTCCACGTAAGATTTTAGAAATGGTGCTTTGTGTTATATGATTTAGAGATTTATATCTTTATTGATTCCTACCTGAGTGTTCATATAAAACACCTGACAAACCTAAAATGTATTTTTTATTTTAACTTTTAAAAATATATGTTATTCGACTTCCTTTTTGTTTTAATTAGGTAACAGGGAAAAAGATATATGCTACAAGCCAGCAAATTTTTGAAACAGTTAAATCACTGTGGACAAAAAGCAACAAAAAAGAGACACTTCCTCAACCTAAGGAAAAAACTAAGGTAAAGTTTAAATGGAACAAGACGGTCCACATTGAGTTGTGTTTGGGTGGGTGTTGGCTTGTAATGAGGATACTGGACAGAGGTCGAGGTTAAAATAAGAAAGTAGATGAAGGAATTTGGTATAATTTTTTAAAGATATTTTATTCTCTTAGTAAAATGATTTACTTATCAAGGAAAAATCTTTCTGGTAAACAGCTAGGATCCTCTGCCGAAATAGAAGTATCTGGAAAAACAACTCACGTCTTGAAACACTCAGTGCCTTTGCCAACAGAACTCAGCTCTGAAGCAAAGACCAAATCAGTGTCCACCTCAGGTTTGTTGGGAATAATTCAGTTTTGTTTTCATTCTTTTCTTAAATAATTTGATAGCATTATCATTAGCAGTTTGAACTTACAGATGCGTTTTCTCCCTAAATATTTTGTCTTTCTCGTATCTGTGGTTTGCATTTCTTTTTAGGTTAAGAGGTACTTAGGTGCCTGGGATTGTTTTAAATTATCACATAGTTCATAATATAGATCTTTGTATGTGAGGATATGGAGTGGCACTGACAGGTTGATTGGGTGAAACATTTCCTATAACGTTGAAAATACGAGCTATTTTATCAGGTGGGAGAAAATGGGCCTTTCTAGATTCTATAAATTTAAAGGTATGAGTCTCACCTACATAAAGAAATGTAAGCTTCCATTTTTTGTGCTATTTACCTGTCAGTCTCCCTGTCAATCTTAAGACTTGTAATGTTGCTAGTGTTCCATACCGGCAATAAATACTTTGTGGAACCAAACAGTGACAATTACGCTTTCTAAAAAAATACTACTATGATTTTACTGCGGTCAAAAAGAAGGTGGCAGAGTGTTTGATATCATTTTGACAATGTATTCATATTGATTTGCATAGTTTGATCTGTAATGCAGAGAGCTAGAAATGCGTTATTCAGCCCTTACCCACAAAGTAAAACAAAAACCTCTGCTGAATCGGTAATTATTCCCATTTTATGATGAAGAGACTGAGACTCTGGGAGCTAAAATAAGTTGCCCGAAATCATAGAGCTTGTGAGTATCAGAGTTGTGTTTATGGCCTAGAGCTTCTTGACATCAAAGCCCAGGCTCTTTCCATTGTGTATAGATTATCTAATTTAAAACTGGAATTTAGTCTCTAATTTCAATCTCCTCCTCTCTCACTTAATCTTTATATAAACTCTCATTGAATAACAAACGTGATTTGAGTTTTACTATTTTCCTCTGTCCTCTCTCCTTTCTAATCAAGACAAGTTATACAGTTTTTAGAGTCTCTGAATAATCTACAGGTGACCATATTCTCACAAGAATATAATGTATGGTCATTTTTCCAAATGCTTGTTAATTACAGAGTATCTTTGTGAAAATGAAGCATACTACAGCTTAACAGTGGGACCAAAACCTTCCCGAGCTAATGTCTTTTCTCCACACATCTGGATGATGGAGCCCTTTATTGCCTGTCTTTGGTGATGTGGTATATGAAAAGCATTGTAAGGAGATAATGCAGAGGGAGAAAGAGATGCCAGTGCTACTCATTCTTATCATATATGTCTTGGTCAGTTTGAGCTACTGTAAAAATTACCATAGACAGGGTGGCTTGTAAACAACCGAGAGGTGCTTAGAATTAGTTGAGGTGAGGAGGGTGGTGCCTTCATGAATGGGATTGGTAGTGCTCTTATGAATCTTGAGAGAGCTTACTTTCCTCTACTCTCTGCCATGTGAGAATACATTGAGAACTAGGCTGTCTACAAGCCAGAAGAGGGCCTTCACCAGAACCTGACCATATTGGCACCCTGATCTCAGAATTTCAGTCTTTAGAACCATGAGAAATAAATTTCTGTTGGATCCAACATTTACTAGTTCTGTTACCTGGGTCAAGTTATCAAACACCTCGAGCCTCAGTCTCCTCATCCAACAAAAAGGGAACAATAGTAGTTCTTGCAGGGTTGTAAAGATTAAATGAGATATTGCATGTAAAGCACTAACTGCAATGCCAGAGATATACTAAGGGGTATCAGTGGATATTAAAATGTATCAATATTATCATTTGCCTAGAGTAATTAGCCATTTTTCTGAGAAACAGATTTTCACTGAGTACACTTTAAGAGTAGTAAGTCACTTACCTAGTAAGCCTAGCCATGGCTACCACTTTTCACCATATAGAATAGATCAGTGTACTGTCCAACTGTATGTTGTGGCTCTGAATGTGAGTTGTTTTCTACCATCTCATGTACATTAATGGAGAAAATTATTATTATGGGAATTACAAATTTAGAAATTTGGTGTCATAGATCTCTTCAAGCATCCGATGAAAGCAGAATGAAATCTCTCATAGTCTTACAAGATTAATGTCCCTCTAAAGCAGAGGTTGGTAAACTATGGCTGGTATGCCACCTCTGACTCACTGTTTTCATATATTCTGCAAGCTAACAGTGATGGTTGACAAAATCAAAAATATTATTTTATAACTAGTAAAAGTTACATGAAATTCAGATCTCAATGTCTATAAATAACACTTTATTAGAACATACCGACGACACACATTCATCTATATATTGTCTATGGCTGCTTTTACACTACTGTGGCAGAGTCGAGTCATTGTGATGGAAACCATATGGTTCACAAAGTCAGAAATACTTGCCACTGACCTTTTGCAGAATAGTTTACCTATTCTCCTTCGAGAAAGAAGGGATGTGCCACATAGCATGACTCATGTCCCCCTTATGGTAGTTGACAGATTTTTTGTGGATTGGGAGACTAAATAGCCAAACTGAAAACCTCTTAATGGCAAAAGCTAATTTCTTAGAATTTTGGGGGGCTGAGGAGACAGAAACTAGTCAGATGTCAGTCAGAAGCTTAGGAGTGCCATACCTGAACTGGGAGGAACCAGAGGTTAACTGACTCTTACTAAAACTACAACACAGCCCAGACCTAGCTCAATGCTGGACTAGATTGAGATGATAAGTGTTTCACCCTTTCTAAAGAGCTTCCACCCTTCTGGAGCGTCTACCTTTCTTTCATACACGATGTCCACCATACAAACAAACAAAATAGTAGTTACGCAAAAAGGCAGGAAGATGTGATTGATAGTCAGAAGAAAAAATAAATAAATACAACAATAACAGCAGACCCACAGATGACTTAATATTGACATTAACTGAGAAGGACTTTAACAATATTAATATTATTAATATTTAAGTTAACTGAAAAGGACTTACAATAATTATAATTAATATGTTAAATAGGAAAAAATGATGGACAAAATAGATGAAAAGATGGAGAATGTCACAGGGACTTAGAATCTGTTAAAAAATAAATCTAGTGGCTATTCTAGAAGTGAAAAATACAGTACCCGAAATCAAGAACTCATTGGGTGGGTTTAACAGCAGACTATATACCAGAAAGCACAGAATTAATGAATTGAAAGACAAGTCAATTAAAACTAGCCAAACTGAAGCACAGAGAGAAAAAAGGAATGGAAAAGGTTGATAAAGTACTTTATAGTGACTAGTGTCTTTAAGTGTTTGAGTTGCTGAGAAGCTGAATGCTGAATGTCATCCTGATTTTATACGCGAGAAATGAAAATAGAATTTGTAACAATCCTTACTTCACTCAGCCATTTATTAGTTTTCTGTGTCGATTTTTTGTACCTAACTTGCTTAAAATATCAATGAGATAACATGTGAACTAAATTATTAGTTATGTGATGCTATCAGATACCACATAAGGGCTATTTGAGACTATAATTCATTGTTGTCTCGTAACTTTAAAGATATTTCTTTCCTATTTGTTATAACACCAGCTTTTTGAAAATTCTGCTAAAAAGCTTTAAGCAGAACACATTCGTTGAGAAAGGAAACATATATAAGTGCAAAGGAATGCATCATGATGATGAGGGCATTCAGATTCAAGAAGAGTTTTATGACAGTTCATTCTCTGAGAGGGTAAGAGAGTCCTTAATCCACTCAAGAGATTGAAGAAATTTCTAAGAAAGATATAATTCTTAATTGCTTAATAAGGGCATGAGATGAAGCTTTTTAAAAAGATAGAAATCAAATGACAGGCTAAGTGGTTCTAAACCAGAGGGATCCATATCACAATTACTTGAGGATTTTTTTTCTTTTTTTTTCCTCCAAAATTCATAGGTTCAGACTCTACTCAAGAATTATAAATCTGAATCTCCAGAGGTGAGGCCTCCAAGCAGGTAGATTTTAGGAAGAGTTCCACAGGAGAGTCTGATCCATTAGACTCTAGCCAATAATCTCTGTTTTAAGGTGTTAGTACATTAAAACCTTGAAGCCTTTTAAGAAATTTTGAGGGGTGACGTAAAGGCAAAAGGACCTTTCTAATTCAGGAAATTGGGATAAACTGAACCTTTCACCAAATTTAGAATAAGAGTATAGATTAAGGACGTATTTAGAAGTGCTAGAGAACTTAGTTGATGGACATTGTTAAGCAAATTGGACACATTGAGTCTTACATAAAATAATTATTTGTCACATGCCTACTGTATGTTTTCTGCTTGATAAAACTTGTTGCACACTTTTCACTTGCACCGAGCAATGCTTCCCACCCGATGGCAGTAGAGATCAGCAGAACCACCAGTGTGTTCCTAACCTTTTTGTGTGCTACAACCTCTTCCCAGAATGTTTTCAAATGCAGACAATAAACACATAGTAATGTATGAATCTCTTTAAGTGTATTAAACAACAATATTTAACAATAGGTCTGATAACTTTTAATTTTTAATTAGTGGCGAGTGTGAATATTTTCAGATAATCTGCAACTATAATGTAATAAGATATCTGTGATTTCTGTTGGTGAAAAAGAAATCTAAGGTCCTGCTGATACTATTGTGTTTTGTTGCCTGTATTCATTATTGAAGAAAATGTCCATTTAAGTCAAAGGTAAGTGAAAATAATGACAAATTTTCCTCATCCGAGTTAATAGATCACATGAGTTCTCTAACATACCCCCAAAGGGACACGAAGTTAAGAATTTATTCTGTGGAGAGCTTCATTACCTGTACCATCATAAATACTAATTACTTTGAATCTGGTTGTTCTGTTAATATATTTGTGATGAAGTTGCGCATAGGTATGTCACGCTATAAACTGTTTCTGAAAAGATAGGTATAAGATATATCATTGTATTCTAATTTCTCTCCTTTGTTTTCATTATAAAACTGGAAATTAACTTCCTTTATGCAGAAAAGGTATGGTTCCAAATGTGATAAAATTAATTTTAAGATGAATCAGATTTTGAACATATTTAAAATAAAAACAAATTTCTGAAAAAATGTTTTTAGTATTATGTCACAAAATAAATATGAAATAGTTGTGTCTTGCCTACTTACCATGCACAAGGTGTTATATGCCGCACTTTGTGTGCATTATCACGTTTAATACTAAAAGTAATTGTATGAGATTTTTACTGCTATAAACATAATTTTAAAGAAAAGCCTGGGTTGTTGTGTTGGGGTCAGACAAATGTGGATTCATTCCTGGCTCCACCACTTATCAGTTGAATGACTTTGGTCAAGTTACTTAACCTCTTCAAATTAAAATTTTCTTATCTGTAAAATAAGGACAATATAAAAATAGTATCTACTTCATGGTGAGATTACAGGATAGCACATGACAATAACTTAGCTACTTGCCTGGGACGCAGGAAGCTTGTCAAGGTCACCAGTGATGCACACATTGCTAAATCCAGGAGTGGATTCTCAATCTCCATCTTATGCAATCCATCAGTAACCTTTGGCACAGGTTCAGTTCCTTCCTTCTTCAAACAATCTCTTCACTTGGCCTGTGGGATATCTCTTGCTCTTGGTTCTCTACCTCATTCACTGGCTTTCCTCCTTAGTCTTCTTTCCTACATTCTCCTACCCTTCTTCATGTCTCCTAATCTTAACCCAGAAGACTCATTTGTACTCAGATGTTTAATAGGCAATTCACATTGAACACGTCCAAAACTTAACGATTCATTTGTTTTTCCCTAAACCTGCTTCTCCCACATTTTCCCCTGTCTCAGTAAATGTGACCTCCATTCTTCCATTTTCTCAAGTTGAAGAGTCTCCCTCACAAGACATAGTCAACTCATTTAGGAAATCCTTCCCATTCTACCTTCAACGTTATCCAGAATCTGGTACCTTTTCACCGTTTCCATTGCTACTTTCCTAATTAAAGCCCTCAGCATCTCTTCTGGAGTACTGTTACTGCTTTCTAACTGGTCTCCCTGCTTCTATCCCTTGTTTTCTTACAGGTTTTCTTTTCCACAGCCAAGAGTGATCTTTTCAAAAGCACAGCGTCATTCACTCCTCTGCTCAAAATTGTCCAGTAGCTTCTCATCTTACTTAAAGCCAAAATCTTTGCCATAGCCCAATGTGACCTAGCTTTCCATTGTCCGATCACATCTCCTGTCACTCTCTCTCACTGCCTCGCCGCCACCCCTACGTACACCACATCTCGTTTACTGTGTTCCAACCATTTTGGTTCCTCAGACATGGCTCAGGTCCGTTACACTTGCTGTCTGCTCATCCTGGAAGGCATTGACTGCCGGTATCTATAGGGTGCACACCCTCACCTTCGGTTCTTGGCTCATATATCACCTTTCCAGAAGGCTTTCCCTGGCTGCCCTATTTAAAATTACAAATCACCTAAGCACTCCATATAGCCCTTCTTGTTTCATTTTTTCACATAGCACTTAGCCACCATCTGATATATATTTAATTAGTTTGTCTCACCTAACTGAAATGTTAGGTCTATGTCGCCAGATATTTTTGTCTGGTTTGTTCACTGTTGTCTTCCCAGTATCAAAAATAAATTTCTTAAGTGACTAATTTTTTTTTCATTTTAATACTTTATCAGGTGCTACACAGTTTATGCCTGACCCCAAGCTCATGGATCACGGGCAGTCCTACCCAGAAGATATAGATATGTACAGCACTAGAAGCTGAAGTAGACTGCATAGAGAGACTACGTAGACAACTACAAGATGTGTGAAGTTGCAAATAATGATGAAAAAAATCATGTCATGGGTAACTGATACATAGAGTGTTACCTAAAACAAGTTTTTCCCTTACATCTCCAAATGTGCAATTTGATAAATTACATAAGTGGTTAACACACAAACTGTGAATGCAATGCAGACAATATTAAATGATTGATGAAAAGGCATAGATATAAATGTTAGCTTGCATTTGATGACCTTTAGGGGCATTTATTAAAAAACAACAACAAATGAAGACATGAACTCCAGTGAGACTAAAATCTGAAAATGCATCTGTGTATGTATAAAGACATACATATTGATATGTATAAACATATATTTCTGCTCTAGTTTTCCTGAATTTATGTCAGTTAAATTAGAATGGTGTGTGGAAATATGTGTTTCCCTCTTTTTTTTTTTTTTTTCATTTCCTGGAGCTGGAATAAAATATTCGTGTTTTATGGGACGTGAACTTGGCTTTGTCTCTTGGTTTTGTTAATGTTAATTCCTCTTAAATGTCTAAAAACATCTCTAACTATTTGAGAGGGCCATACGCTACGCAGGCTTTCTAATACTGCCTAGCAGTCCTTCCTAAATGGTTCCTAAGTGGTTCACTATTGTGTTCTCTGGAAGAGGTGTTACAAACCTTTTATTCTCCTCAAGCCTCTTATAACTGCCAAAATGACTGTGCCTCCTGTTTTACAGATGAAAAAGTAAATTATTAGACATGACCATTCCCAGCTTCTTCCCATCTACCGTCAAGACTTACCTCTTTTCAGCCATGCATTGCCTTTCTAACACTAATGCTTACAATGTTTGTGTTCTTGATCTCATTCCCTCCCGTCTAAGACCGTCATCCACCCTGTTTAGTCTCCAGGCTTTGGTTTCTCTTTTTGCTAATTTGTTTTCCTCTACCTCTAAATAGCTTTAGGACTTCTCTATCTTAAACCAACAATAACAAAACAAGACAAAAACCTTTCCTTAACTTGGCCTCTTCCCTTGAACCCTTTTTTCTCTCTCCTTCCTATGTGCTATACTTCTTTAAAAAGTAATTATTACTTTTTGACAAAAGTAAATATTGTTTCTTTTTTCCCTACTTTCAAGTCCTCTCTTAGTAAGTTGTGGCATTCTGGCCTCTACACCTACTTAATTTTTTTTTTTTTTTTTTTTTTTGAGATGGGGTCTTGCTCTGTTGCCCAGGCTGGAGTGCAGTGGCACAAACACAGCTCACTGCAACCTTCATGTCCCAGGCTCAAACAATCCTCTCATCTCAGCCTCCTGAGTAGCTGGGACTATAGGCATCCACCACCATGCTTACTTTTTTTTTTTTATTATTTTGTTAGAGACAGCGTTTTGCCATGTTGTCCAGGCTGGTCTAGAACTTCTGAGCTCAAGCAATCCTCCCAACTCAGCCTCCCACAGTGCTGGGATTACAGGTGTGAGCCACTGCACCCAGCCCCTTGAATCCTTATGTCATTACTGATTCTTTACCACTCTCTCCTTGAAACTCAGTTATTCCTTTGCTTTCTATTTTTCCTGCTTTTGTTATTCTTCATTTTTCTTCTCTTGCTCTGACTCCCTTAAATGCTGAGGCTGCTCAAGTTTCATCCCTAGTCCTATTTTCTCATTCTATATGCGCTCTCATTTTTATTTAACATACTTCACTGGCTTCAGTCCCCATTCTTTTATTATTATACATATTTTCAGCCCCCATATCCCTCTAGTGCTGTAGACCTTTATTTCTACTTACTGTATTTACCTAACATCCCATAGATATGCCAATGTCAGTATGCCTAAAACAACATTGTCTCTACCTCCTGCTCTTTCAAATCGGTTCTACCTTCTCCAATTGTATCATTACTCTCCCTCAAGTCATAATCATCACTTCTCTGGGTTTCTATAATAGCCTTTGGGCTTATTTGCTTACTGTCAATCTTGCTCTCTCTCACTTCAGAATATGTCCTGCTTGCAGGTAACAGTAAAGTAGTTAAACAAATATTTAATATTAGCTTAAGCAAAAAAAAAAAAAAAAAAAAAAAAAAAAAAGCGCCTATCTATAGCCTGGAATTTGGCAGTAAAGGGTTAGGATACTGGCTCATTGGTCTATCAAGGACCTAGACTTTTCATTTTCCACCCCATCTGTACAGTATGTTGGTTTGTCACCTCATGGTCATACGATGCCTGCTGTACCTTCAGGGAGCAGATACACATTCAAAGTAAGAAATAGCAGATAAAAATATGCGCAGGATGCTTCTGACTCCCTTTTATCAGCAAAGTAAATGCTTTCTTAGAATCTCCTCAGAAGACTTCCGTGTATGTTTGAACCAGTGCTTGTCATATAGCCATACGCTTAGCTCCAGGAAGACAGGGAATAGGGAATCATGCTTCTTTTCCCCTGTGGTGAGGAAGACAAGGTTAAGGATTGGGAAGAGGTGTTGAGTTTAAGCTAACGTCGTGTCTGCTACCCTGTACTTCTAACCCATTTGTCTGTTATGACATAGTTGTCTTTCTGACACCTATAATGGATAGTTGTCTTTCTGAAATCTTTAGTGGCTCATCGCTGCCTGCAGAATCAAATCAGAACTCCCTAGTTTGATATACAAGGCCCTTCATATCCAATTCACGCTACCTTTAATCTATTTTCCCTATCCATACCCATCCTACTGCTAATGTGTATTATATCGTCTTTATGACCTATCATTTGTTTCTTGAACATGCTTTGTTGTTTATTGCCTCTTTTCCTGCCTGTGCTAGTGTGTCCTCTCAAAATGCACTTCCATCTTATCCCGCCCTACATTCCTAATTTCCTATCCCATCCTACAAGTCCAATTCCAGTGTCCACGTCCCTTTCTCAGTCCTCTGGGGTAGAACTTAGATCCTCTTTTCTAGAGACAGAGTCTCGCTATGTTGCGTAGACTGATCTCAAACTCCTGGCCTCAAGCAATCCTCCCACCTCAGCCAAACAGACATGAGGGACTGTGCTCAGCCTTTTCTTAAATTAAAATATATGATATGGCCAGGGTGTGGTGGCTCTCACCTAAATAATCTCAGCACTTTGGGAGGCTAAGGTGGGTAGATCACCTGCGGCCAGGAATTCAATATCAGCCTGGACCAATGTAGTGAAACCCTGTCTCTACTAACAACAAAAAGTTCAAAATTAGCCAGGTGTGGTGGCGCATGCTTGTAATCCCAGACACCTGGGAGGCCGAGGCTGGAGAATCACTTGAACTCGTGAGGTGGAGGTTGCAGTGAGCTGAGATCGTGCCATTGCACTCCAGCCTGGGCATCAAGAGCAAAACTCTGTCTCAATCAATCAATCAATGTACATAGTATGTCTTAGTTTTGATTTAATATGAGTATGTTTAAGATCTGATCCACGGTTTTAAAAAACTGATTTCAAATACTGGAGATAAATTCTTAGGAGCTTACTTATGAAAAACTAGCAAGTGATAGTTGATATTTATAGATACGGTACTTACACAATTTATGTAATTAATATTTTCTCACGGCCAAGATTCCTTGTGTGTATGGCTGAATAACTTTGTATAGTTTCTATACCCATGCAATGCCTGGTAGATAGTAGGAATTCGCATGTTCTGCCATGCTGGTTGCAGCACAGGACACAAAAGTTAGAATTCTTTCAAAGGACTTATACTCTACTAGGAAAGAGAGAACATAGAAATATGGTGTTGCATGTCTTATGTTCCCTGAGATAAGTACAACCAAAGTGCTATGGATGCTCAGAGATAAAATGTAGTTCTGGGATGATGTCAAGAAGGCAGCGGTACTTAAGCTGCGCGAGGTAGGGAAGCAACTTAACTGCTAGGTTTTCATAAGTAAGCTCTTCAGAATTTATCTCTGGTATGTGAAATGAATTTTTTAAGCCTCACATCAATATATTCAAACAGCTGTATTTCATCAAATCTAAGGCATATCCTATACCTTTAATTTTTTAAAAATGCTGAGCACCGTTGCTTATGTCTGGGAGGCTGAAGGGGGAGGATTGCTTGAGGCCAAAAGTTTGAGACCAGCCTGAGCAACATAGCAAGATCCTGCCCCTGAAGAAAAATGCTGCCAGGTGATAAGTACATGTATCCCAACATCAGATATGTCACATTCTGAAAAAGAAGCATCTTAAATTTGATGAAATATGGTGGGTAAAAAATAGCGCAACACTAAGTATAAGTGATTTTTAAATTATCTGCTCTTCTGGTTTAGCACTACTACTAGCTATTAGAATATTGGTTTAGATAATGGAAAGTTGACTAGCCCTACAAAATCTGCCTCAAAATAAAAGATTGGTCAAAAAAGAATGTGATGATCACTTGCTGTATTGTACAACCGAGTCAAACTGCTGTTAGACTCAGGTGACATTCCAGTGTTGGAGGCCGTGCTGGGATGAGTCGTTACAAGGCCTCTTTCATTCTTCCTCTGTGATTTTCAGGAAGTTCTTCTCTGTGAACCTGAAGAGACGCCAGCCTCCTCAGAGGAAAGGTCTAAAGCCCCTCGACTAGTATAGTAGGCAATAGAAGACTTGTTCCAATGACGACACGAAAGTGCATGCAGCTACATTGGGTTCTGGATGGCAATCTGTTTAAAAACACACAAGCAAATTTTACTCTCATTTGAATGTATAGTCTTTGTCAAAAGAAACTATCATGAGAGTGAACAGGCAGTCTACAGAATGGGAGAAAATTTTTGTCATCTACCCATCTGACAAAGGGCTAATATCCACAATCTACAAAGAACCTAAAGAAATTTACAGGAAATAAAAACATCCAAAAGTGGGTGAAGGATATGAACGGACACTTCTCAAAAGGAGACATTTATGCAGCCAACAAACATATGAAAAAACCCATCCTCAATGGTCATCGGATAAATGCAAATCAAAACCACATTGAGATACCATCTCATGCCAGTTAGATTGGTGATCATTAAAAAGTCAGGAGACAACAGATACTGGAAAGGATGTGGAGGAATAGGAACACTTTTTCACTGTTGGTGGGAATGTAAATTAGTTCAACCATTGTGGAATACAGCGTGGCGATTCCTCAAGGATCTAGAACTAGAAATACCATTTGACCCAGCAACCCCATTACTGGGTATATACCCAAAGGATTATAAATCATTTTATTATAAAGATACATGCACAGGTATGTTTTTAGTGGCACTGTTCACAATAGCAAAGACTTAAACAAACCCAAATGCCCATCAATGATAGACTAGATAAAGAA